CTTCTTTTGGTCATCTTAGGATTTCAGAGAAACAAAAAGTAGGTCATGCTCACAAATATGCTGGGGAGCCTTTTGTTTTGTTTCGTTTTGTGTGAGTCTCACTCTGTCGCCCAGGCTGGAGTGCAGTGGCACAGTCAGGACTCACTGAGGCTCAGGTGATCCTCTGCTGGGGATCCCTGTCATAGAGAAACAGTATTTTTTGTTCTTGAAATCTCACCACTATTATCTTTTATACTTCAGAAGCAAACTAAGAAAGAAATACGTCTGAAAAATGTTAAGAAAAATAAATTAGGATGAACTAAAATAGCTCAGAGGAGTTGAGAGACATATGTTACCGCACAGGCGATGTTTTCATGAGTTACCTGCATAAGAATCTGCTTTTTAACAGGACTTGCAGGCAGCTCATATGTACCTTGGAGTGTGAAAAGCAATGCTCTAGTGGACAATTGACACTCCCCGAGTCACCATGAGTGACTGATCTGTTGGTAGCTCTGTTTGAGAGAAGGTAAACAAATATGGCGTATCAGTCATAGGATTCAAATGTTGAGAATCGAGGTTTAATTTTGTTTGCAGCTGCAGACCACCAGGCCAAGTGATCGTGTCTGACTCTACAGCAATATTCTGACGTGGCTTTGTCTCCCACACAGATGAGATTCTTGGTGGCTTGATGACAGCAAGTGAAGAGCTGCTCCCTGCACTGGAGTAGGATGGTTTCCATGACGACAGTTCTCTGCACTGAGCTTCCCCTACCTTTTTTTTTTTTTTAAACCCTGGTATTAATCAACAATGCAGAGACTACAAAGGGTACTTTATTTTATTTCTAAAGAATTTTACTATACCTAAATTTTACTTCACATTTTGTCATCATCATGGGTTTCTCTGAGAGAACATCTTTGTGCAGAAAAGTGTGGTTTTATGAGTGATAGCGTTAATCTCAAACTGGCACAGCTGAGAGATTTAGAGTTAGCCCATACTGACCTAAGCTTGGTTTTAAGAATACAGTACTTCTGTTTGGTGTTTGTCCTGCTGTGTATCAATAGATCTTCAAATGGAAAACCGATTATTACATAGAGTCATTAACTACCATGGCCAGGTGTATAGAATGATCTTTCTCCTTGCGTAGGGAAGAAATCTCTTATTTCACAGTAATATATGGTGGTGATCAGTATAAGAAATATTTGCATTTTTAGTTCTTTTATAATGTGATGCAAACGTTTGGATTGTTTGACCTGTTGCACTCTCTTTAGTGATAATCTATTATTTCTCTCTCTTTCTTTTTTTTTTGACACACATTCTTGCTCTGTTGCCCAGGCTGGAGTGCAGTGGCGCAATCTCGGCTCACTGCAGCCTCCGCCTCCTGGGTTCAAGCAGTTCTCCTACCTCAGCCTCCCGAGTAGCTGGGATTACAGGGACACGCCACCATGTCCAGCTAATATTTGCATTTTTAATAGAGACAGGGTTTCACCATGTTGGCCAGGCTGGTCTCGAACTCCTGACCACAGGTGATCCATCCGCCTCAACCTCCCAAAGTCTTGGGATTACAGGCATGAGCCAGCAATCCCAGCCTGATCATCTGTTACTTCTGTAGCAGATTAAAACCCACCAAATTTTATTTTATAAAAGTACTAATAAAAAAAAAAAAAAAGCATGGTTAGTGAGAAAAGCATTAAGAGCACTAAAATCAGCCCTTTGGGAAGCGAAAGTTAGCTCCAGGGCCTTTGCTTAACGTTCTGTGAAGACCCCAACAGCTCTGTGGAAGCAGCTGTGCTGCTGCTCCTGGTCCACGCCATTGTCCTTTCATCTCTGCATTGTCCGGTAGCCCAGTAACCTAAGCTGCCTATCTGCCTTCTCGTTTTTTCTCAACATAGCCAGATGATGTCCCGGCCCCTCTATAGCATTCCACGGGGCAGGGTGTTGCAGGCATCACCTCAGGTGCGTTCTGTGGCGCTCAGAATAAAAGCCACCAGTCTTTAGTGCTGTCCTATGAAACCCCTCACTCACCTCTCTGATCTCACCTCCTATTGCTGGTCCCTCCTGTGCCCCAAGACAGGCCACATACTTCAGCCTCAGGGCCTTCACACTGGCTGATCCCGTCTGGAACTACTCTTCCCGAGATGTCTGCACGGCTCTCTTCTCCACATTCTTCAGATCTTTGCTCATATGGCAATTTCTCAGAGATGCTTTCCTTGGACACCCTGTTTAAATGTTGACTCCCAGCCCCCACCCCCAACAAACACACATTCTCTGTCACCGTCTCTCTCTTTACTTTTCTTCATACCACGTATTGTCATCTGATGGGTTTTATCTTTTACTTCAGCATTTACTGTCAGTCTCCTTCCAGAACATTATCAGGCCTTTTGCCTTGTTCGGTACACAGCCACACCACCTAGAATGAGGTGCACAGTATTTGCAGTGCACACTGTTTGGAATGCATGAATAAAATTGACCCTCTCTAACCCCATAACTAGATAGGAATTTATAGCCAAGTGTATTAAGGGATTTCTTCCCTCCGGTTTTGTTCTCATCCCTATCGCTAAGAAGACTGAAATGTTAGAAGATCTTGTAAAAAATTAACCACAGCTGTGAGCCATTTAAAACACTATGGGGTGAGTTAGGAAATGCCCATTAAGTGTTGATTTGTTAGGCAAATGGGAGCGCACCGCACACTCAGTGCACTCCAGGTCTCCTGGGTGCCAAGCATGCGGGGCAGGCCCTGGTGGTCGGAGGAGGGGCAGGGAGTGGGGCCTCCTTCCGGGATCTTCACACTGCCTTGCCGTTGCTGTGGTGGCATCCTGCAGCAAACTTGGGCTCTCACGCACCCTCCTGTGAGAGCTACTGCTTTGGTCTGTGTGTATCTATGTATCTACTCACCAGGGTCATTTCACTGAGGACTTCCTTGGGCTGAAATTTGTTTTCCTTTTTGTTTATGATGTTTCCTAGTAAACCCACTGCCGTGAGTCCTCTCTGCTGGGTTGCCACCCAAATGTGACTTGAACTTTGTGCTCTTTCTTTTTTAGTATCTGAAGATTTCTTTTGGCCATGGGAGTATAGGAAACAAAAATTTATAGAAGTGAATGTAGACAATGCCTGTCTAATTACTGGTGACCCAGGGGCGGGGGCGTGCACTGTGGGGGTGGAGCCTCTTCAGCAGAGCCCTGTATCTGCCTGGCAGAATTATCCCGGGCAATGGATGCAGCAGGTTCTTTTAGCCCAAAGCCACCATTCATTCAAGAACGTATCTGTTGAGTAGTCAGTACCGGGGAACACGCTAATAAAATGCGCTCCGTGTCCACCCCCATGGAGACCTAAATTAAATAATCGTGTAATGCATAGTTACATGTAGCTACAAACTGTCCAAGTGCTCTGGTGGAGAAGGTCAAGGTGTCCTGGGGGCTTAGCATAGGGGAACTTGTCTTAGGCATGGGATCATGTAACTAGAGTGAGGGTGAGCATTAATTTCCAAGCAGGGAAAACAAGGTGTGGGAAATCTCTCCGGTATTGAGTGATCTTGTGCATTCATAGGAGTGAAAGGAGACCAGTGTGGCTGAAGTGAGAGGACGATGAAGGAGAGAGGTGCATGAAGGTCAGGGGCAGGGCCCAGAGTCCCCACCCTGTGTTTATCATAGACCAATGCAGAGCACTAAAGAGTATAGGTAGGGCTGAGCCACGATCTGTTTTCTATTTTAAAAGGTTTATTTTGTGCCAGGCATAGTCATACCTGTAGCCCAGCAACTCGGGAGGCTGAAGTGGGAGGATCGCTTGAGGCCAGGAGTTCCAGGCCAGCCTTGGCAACATAGCAAAATCTTGTCTCTACAAAAAATAAAAAATGAGTGGGCATGGTAGTGTACATATGTACATTATCTCTGCAACTTGGGAGGCTGAGGTGGGAAAATCACTTGGGCCCGGGAGTTTGAGGCTGCAGTGAGCTGTGACTCTAGTATTGCACTCCTGCCTGCGTGCCGGAGTGAAACCCTGTATCCAAAACAGAAAAAGGTTTATTCTGGACACTTTGTGGATCGGAAGGGAGAAAGTACAGAAGTGGAAAACAGCAAGAAGTGTTTTGTGTTTGTCCAGGAGAAAGAACGATGGCAGCTTGGACTAGGATGGTGGTGGTAGAGAACGCGGGAGAATGCTTGGCTAGAGAGGTTGTTTTGGAGTACGTTGGCATCCTGGTGGTGACTGCTCCGATGTGCTCACTGAGCAATCTGCTGTTAATGTGGCCTAATCTTTGCCTGTCTATGAGGTGCTTATGCCTAGGAATTATTGGCTTCCAAACTGGATGGAGGAAGTGTCCAGCATATCTGACAATTGCATTTTTCATTATAAGTGAATACTTGGGCATTTTGGCTTTATCAGTCTCTTGTGAGCTTTGTTAGCATGAAGCGGTATTGATCAACATGAGAGAAACTTTGGGAGCCAGAGATTTCAGGGACAGAACCTAGACACTCATGAGTTCCCAACGGTAAATGTCACCTGCCAGAGATTCTGAACAATTACCTTTTCTGGGGAATAACCTCTTTTTTGATAAAGGCTTCCCTTTATAATTTTTAAAAAATTTTAAGTAAATCTTTAAAACCAAATCATTCATTTCTATCTTTAGAACAGCAGTTATTTCACCTGGCAAAGAAAGGTACTACCCACCTGAAAAAGAACTTCAGAGGGAGTGTGGTTTGAAAAGGCATATCAAATGGAGAAGGATTCAAAATCCAGGAGAGTCTTATTCTAATTTGTTTTCCTGTGTATCTAACTTTTGATTGTGTCACCTTAATTTCTTTTGAAGCCGTTAAGTTGTTTTTCAAATCTCTTATTATCTGTGTGGGTAGTAATGATGTCTTTTTAAGATTCTATTTAGGAACTCAGTAAAATTAGGCAGTTGAAATAATTGAGTAAAGTTTAATGAAGCCCTTTTGGCACTCCAAGTTTGGAAAATAGCAAATAATAATGTAGAACATTTTGTGTGCATTCGTGCCAGTCACTAACAGTCTCTTTATATTTTGCAGGAGGAAGATGGAAGAAACAGAGATGACTTGGAGTGGGACAGAATAAACCACTGAACAGGTAACTGAGATTAGTAGTTGTATAGACATTGATTAAATAAGTTAAAATTTGTAAATGCCTAGAATAGAACATGGCACGTAGTAAATAGGATGTAGGTGTGTGCTGCTATTAGGTTCTTTTAAATGTACATAAGCCCCAAATAAACCAATTATACAAACCAAAAATACCCAACAAAAGCAAACTGTCCGCCCAAAGCAAGTGTGAACATCACTGGCAAGTTCTGACGTGGCCTCTGTGTAGCCTGACATCATGGCGCTGAGAAATTTACCTTGAAACCTCTTTGAAACTTCCTCATCTTTGACCACCCTATGTCCTTGAGCACCCATTCATTTTTGTCTTTGACCTTCTAAGTGTCGGATTGGTTTCACTGGAAACCAAACAAACTTCTTTGAAATTCTTGAAGAGCTAGTTCCAGGGGAGCATAGTGTAGCTTACAGGTGGCTACTGAAATGGCTGACAGTCACAAAGATTGTGAGGATGGAGTGAAAAGCAGCAGCACTCCCATTTTCTGATGGTGGCAGGTGATAACCTTGGAATAAGAAGTTCCAAACTATCATTCCTGCTTAGTCACTAACTTCCTGTAATAAAACTGCTGGCTTTACTGAGACCTACTGACATCTTCAGCAAACATTAATAAAAGGGCATATTACATGTCCAGTCCTCTACTTGGTGATAGGATTTGACGTTGAATGTATTACCTTTCTCCTCACTCTACTCCCATCTCTGGATCTTCACCAATTCCTGCCCAGAGAGATGCTGTAGGTCTTGCCATCCGCCTCGTCCCCAGCCTTGCTGTCTCTCCTGCCAGCTCCCCTTCAGCACCTCAGCATCCCTTTATTCAGGGTGGGAAAAGATGCCAGAGATGGAACTGGGAGTCGCATCTGGTAGTTAGACTTTCTCTAATGGCATTCATATTGCCTCTTCCTCAGCCCTGACTTCTGCTTCATAATTTAAAGTTTATTTTAAATATTATGTTGTATGTTTTGCCCTGTTTCCCTTTGGGGATTTTGGGATCTCACCTTTGACAGTTACATTTCTGTTTTGGAGGTTTTGTAGCTGGTATTATTAGCTTGAGAGAGAGGTGGGGCACTGGGGGTACACTTAATATTTCCATAGCTTTCAGATCTTTTTATTAGAACCCACAGGGGGAAATACCTGTTCCCTTAGGGCCTAGCATACATATTTGTACATTTGGATATGTAGTTTCCTGAAGTGAGACCTTTACTATATGCAAGCTGGGACAGAATTTTTTTCTATTCTATCACTTTTTCTTTTTCCTTTTTTTCTCTTTTTAATGTTCATCATAATTGGCAAAGTGGATTCGTAACCTGCTAGTTGGTTGTCCTTTGACAGATTTGCAGTATTACATTGCTATGGTAGGTGCACGTGGTTTCTTGCCCTTTTCCCCATGCTCTTCACTAACCTGTACAAGCCTTTTTTACCCCTAAAAATGCCTCAAACCTGCCTTACCTTTATTCTTTATGTGCTGAGCTCTCTCCTTCCTTTTGTAATAAGCCTCTGTTTCTATTTTGTCACCTACCATTTCCTCCTCAACTTTCTTTCTGTCTGAACTTGGACATTCTTCTCCTCCTGATCATTAGTGAAGAATCCTTTTATTTACCATTTTGAATAAGATCAGTCCTTCTGTGCTGTTAGATCTTGCATATTAAGTATAATTTTCAAAAAAGTAACACACTTATTTTTCATTGATTTTTATATATTTTTAGATCCCTCTATTCCGTTTCACAGTAACATAAGTATTCTGATGGTGTAATCTCATGATTTGCTCCCTTAAATGGTCCAATGGACCACACAATTACATTTGATGATCATCTTGGTTCATGCCATGGGCTGGAGAGAGCCATCTGCTGGCCCAAGTGTAGTGTTGCATTGTTTTTTTAGCATTTCCAGCTCAACGTCTATTTAATTGAAATGTAGTCATACATTATAACACAGTTTAAGGGGCTGGGATCTAGTAGGAGAAAAGAATTTCGTGGTAAAACCTGAGTCCTCACCTTCATATATTTTTAATGGGCAAAATGACAGTTAAGTAAAGGTTTGGATCCATTTAAAACTTTCGGAAATGGGCTGGGCGCGGTGGCTCACGCCTGTAAACCCACCACTTTGGGAGGCTGAGGTAGGCGGATCACAAGATCAGGAGATCGAGACCATCTTGGCTAATATGGTAAAACCCCATCTCTACTAAAATCACAAAAATTAGACGGGCGTGGTGGCAGGCGCCTGTAATCCCAGCTGCTCAGGAGGCTGAGGCAGGAGAATTGCTTGAACCCAGGAGGCAGAGGTTGCAGTGAGCCGAGATCGCACCACTGTACTCCAGCCTGGGGACAGCATGAGACTCTGTCTCAAAAAAACAAAAAAAAAAACAAAAAGGTAATTTACTTTTCCAAGATAAAAAAGAACTAAATTTTTTTATTTGTATAAATTTAAAAAGTACAACTGCAGTTTTGTTACATGGATATATTGTGTAGTAGCGAAGCCTGAGCTTTTAATGTAACCATCACCTGAAGAGTGTACATTATACCCATTAAGTCATTTCTCATCCCTTGCCCCCTCCCACTCTCTCACCCTTCCAAGTCTCCAGTGACTGTTATTCCACACTCTTATATGTCCATGTGTACACATATTTAGCTCCACTTATTAGTGAGAACATGTTGTATTTGCCTTTTCATTTCTGAATTTTTTCACTTAGTCCATCCATGTGGCTGTAGAAGACATTTTTTCATTTTTCATGGCCGACTAGTATTCCATTGTTTATATTACCACATTTTCTTTATCCAGTCATTAGTTGATGGACACTTAGGTTGATACCATAACTTTGCTACAGTGAATTGTGCTGTAATAAACATATGAGTGTGCAGGTATCTTTTTTATATAATGATTTAATTTTGGGGTGGTATATACCCATTAGTGGGATGTTTGTATCAAATGGCAGAAGAACTTAATTTTTAACTGGTGTAGGTTTGCAGCTTGGGATGTGCTACATGAGAGGTACAGTTGGTGCTAGCTATAAAGCCTGTGCTGGAAAAATAAGAAATCTAAAATCTGTTGCTTCCTTACTTTGAAACTGTACTTAGAGTGTCACAGTGATTCTGTACCATCCTTGTCTTAGTGAGATTCTCACTGATTTCAGAAGCAAGCTTATTTAAAAAGGAATTGCAATTATGCACATACATCTAAGATTTCTCCATAAATATGACAAATTTTAAAGATTATAATATGCAAAATTATTCTTTTAAACAACACTAAACACCTGTCTTTGAGGGATATTTCTAAAGCTAGTACACAATAAACAAGATATTGTATCCCAGTTTTCTGCTTTGGAAAGATCTCATTGGAGTAGGCGAGGAAGTTTCTAAATGTTTTGTTATTGAAGCCAAGCCAAAGTTGCTCGTTTGATTCTTTGACTGTGTCCTGCTTTCAGTTATGATTAGTGAAGCCTTTCTGTATCCTTAAATATAGCAGATTTCTCCAAAGGTTAGCCAAATGTTAGTTTTATGGATTAACACATTCCTATGTTTTACAATTATTTTTAATTATTTACAGTTATTTTTAATGCACATAGCACAATTTGGATTACTTTGTTTTGTAGTATCTAGAGTTTGAAAGGATCGTGAGAAGAAGACGGACTTGGAGGCCAGTGGATGCTGTGGTGTATCTGTCAAAATTATTTGAGAAAGTCGCTCTCTAGAATTTCATTTGGATTTCTCTTTTTAATTTTCTATGATCATTTTTAATGATTCATAATGTTTTTTTTTCATTAGATAAATAGAACCCAAACAATAATAAAAATTCTGATGTTTTCTTCTTAGCCTTATGTTAGAGGACACAAATTCTGCTTTGGACATCTGTTCCTCGAATATGTGCTTTCTTCTTTACTTACCATTTACCTTGAAGAATAATTAAACAGTATTCTTCTTTATGTTTTTATTTATTTATTTTTGAGACAGAGTCTCACATTGTCGCCCAGGCTGGAGTGCAATGGCACGATCTTGGCTCACTGCAATCTCTATCTCCTGGGTTCAGGCAATTCTCCTGGCTTAGCCTTCCAAGTAGCTGGGATATTACAGGTGCCCATCACCTTGCCTGGCTAATATTTTGTATTTTTAGTAGAGACAGGGTTTCACTATGTTGGCCAGGCTGATCTTGAACTCCTGACCTCATGATCTGCCCACCTTGGCTTCCCAGAGTGCTAGGATTAGAAGGCCCCGAGATGATGCCACAGTACTTTCCTGGCAGTCATATCATTTCGAAGCAGCTGAAAGCCAGTCCTAGGAAAATGCCTGAGGGGTTAGACTAGTAGTGATCTAGAGCCCTCTATACATTGAGGAAACACAAAAAAGGGAATAATCATGGAGAGCTGATGAAAAATCATGTCGAGGAAAAACTAAATAAGCAGCTCCGGTATAAGAACCACAAAGACACACGCTTTCTGCCTTTCCCACAATAGCAACGTGCTGCAGCCTGACATAGCCGGTGTCCTCAAACTGCTCCAACATGGATCTTGCATTTGCCATTGAATTTAATTCTTCTCGTTTATTTTCATTCTTGAAATTTCCTTTTGCCTTTTGAAACACCCAACTACTTGTTCTCATGCCTCTCTGATTACTTCTTCCAAGTAATTTTATAAGGTACACTAAAACTTGGGTTAGCAATGGGTATTTTTTTGTCCCATTTCATTCTTGGTTGATGAACTCAAAGTATTATCTCAGCATAGGCAGAGTCAGGTGCTTGGGATATGGTATTAAAGAGAATTCAGATAAATACTTCAAAGCCACTTCATTGGAATCCCCAATTTAAAAAAAGAAATCATAAAACGAGGCCAGGTGCGGTGGCTCATGCCTGTAATCCCAGAACTTTAGGAGGCCAAGGTGGGGGGATCATGAAGTCAGGAGATCGAGACCATCCTGGTCAACATGGTGAAACCCCATCTGTACTAAAAATACAAAATTTAGCTGGGTATGGTGGTGTGTGTGTAATCC